CGTGAACACCTGCCTTCGGAGAATCACTGTCCCTTGGTGCTTCCATAGCGTGCATATCACACAGACAACGTGCCGGGTCCGGTCCGACATCAAGGCAGATTCAGATTGGTCGAAAATGTGGACGCAACAGCCAATCAGGATTCAGTGGTTCAGGGATCGCCACGCGGGATCAAGGACCTCTCAGGCTTCCCGGGAGTCCCGTATTCGCACAACGGAATTGAATTATCAAAAGATACGACGTATCCCTGATGGACGAAAAGGAGCAAGTAATCGAGCTCGGAGTACTAGTCCAAACTTTTGAGCCTCATTTGGCATCCCGGGATCTTATCGATGCCGGGAAATTATTCTACCAGACTTTTCAGCCAGGGGTATGATCGCTTCAGTGGACGAAGAAAGTCAGGCAAGTCGGACACGGTTCGTTTTCAGTGATGAGCTCTAGGGATAGTATAGTTTCTAAGATTAGTTTGGGGACTTAGGGGTCCAAAGCCGCTTTATTGCTAGCACAGCTTAAAGAGAGACGACTTAAAGGGGAACTCGAGTTTGAGTCACAGGCAATGAAAAATAACCATAAAAAACAACTGAAGGCTAAAGCCGAGGTGGAGTTGCTGAGCTGGAAGCTTCGTTGGCTGGAAGCGAAGACGGCTTAGAGCAGTGCAACCGGTCAGGTTTTTTAGAGTCCTCAAAAAGTCGCATCACAAGCTATGTTGAAGATTGCAGAAATATGGTAACGCCATTGAACTCTGAAAATCGACATAGTCTCGGAGTAGGAGAACGACAGCATAATGGATTAGGTGACTTCCGTCATCTGGAATCCATTATAGAGGGCCTGGAGTTGCCTAAAATCGGCTTCGTGCAGTTTGATCGTCAACCCAGGAGCTATTGGAGATTTATGTGTCAATTCGACCTTTACGTCGAATGCAAGACCCAAGACGAGTATAGAGGGCCGTTGCCTAAAATCGGCCTCATGCAGTTTGATGGTCAACCCAGGAGCTATTGGAGGTTTATGCGTCAATTCGAGCTTTACGTACG